AAATGATGAGATCCAGAAAAACGGTGGACATTATCATGAAATTCCAACAATTGCACAACTTTTTGAAATAGTTCAAAACACCTGTTCGATTTCGAGTAATATTGACAAATATTTTATAGATGTGATTTTTGCATATTACTCTAAATCGAACGGATGAATTTGTTTTTGAAGTTAATGATGATGTCCACCGCTTTTCAGGATCTCATCAATCAGTTTTGAGATATTTGTCAAAAACGAATTTCGATGAAATGCGATTTCCGTTGCTCAGGTAACGTTAATGGAGCTATGAAATATCATTCCAAACAAAACTTTGGTCAATGCTTTATAACTGGTCMAAACACYAAATAAATCGGTGCAGGGCAAGATTTTCACAAAGCGAATTTAAAAGGACAGGTATGGTCGAAAAAACTATAGGGAGCCACCTTAATTCCTTAAATCGTCATTTAGCTACACTCCAAGGGTTAAGGTGTTTCGATCGTAATAAATAGCGTTTCGCGCGTATTTTTAAACCCCAACTACGTCGCAAATGTTGATTCGATTGCACTCAAATTTTCACAGAAGTATAAGTGAYTATCGATAATTCTTATTTATAGATAAATTTGCCCAAAAAATCGAAGCTATTTGGATAATCAATGCAAAATAAAACACCTTCATTTTTCTTCAAAGTCAATTTTCTCAAAACTCATCGCAGAGATTGTAATAAAATTTTCAGAGTCATTTCTTAATAACATAATTGACATACTGACAAAGTTTGAATGAAATCTTAACMTAAATTTTCGAGATATTTGAGCATTTCAAAATGTTTATCAAAACGATGAGGCCATGTTTTAAGTCCTCGTTTGTGACAATATTCGAATGATAAATGACAAAACTACAATAGCTTGAAAGCTTCATCTTTTGTACAACTGTTGTCCAAGGCACATGCCCATTAGAGTACTACGAAAAAAGTTATTGCCATTTACGCAACTAGTATATTTTAGAAATTTAAAGAACTTCATTTCGGAACGTAAAAGAATCTTTCCTCCTTAAAACATTACGCGTTATCGCTCAAATAATCAAATTTCCATCACCAACAAACACTGCCAGCTATAWTTGAGCTTCTGAAAGGGCAACATTACGGTAAGATAATTTTGCTTTCTATGCTTGCATTTTCAAAGTTGATCAAGTGTCAACACTTGCGCAATTTACTAATTAAGGTTGTGCAGTTACTTTTACCTCACTCAAGCTAAAAATTTCTCTTGAGCAGTTGATGTTGTAATCGTCATCATCATCATCGGTCTCATCATCGGATGATATCCTTTGCCTTAATCCTGTCAAAGTCAGTTCAAGATTTAATAACAGGGAGAAACAGCAAACACTTAAACGAGCACTTTATTTTGAGATGCAACGGAGAACTAGTCACAGAAAGAGTAAAAGATTACGACTGAAAATTATAGAGTTAGATGTTATCTTTGGACTAGTTTTAAACAATGAAAACTACCTTGCTTGGTGTAGACAGACAAATTTAAACCTTAGTCAATCATACAGATTTCGCTGAGCTTGTTGGTCTTCTCAACAATCTTCCTAAAGTACGGTGGACCAGAAGGGACATTCCGATTGCGTTCACAATAAATTCGTTGAGTGCTACTAACTCGCAATTGAGTATTACTAACTCTCAATTGAGTGCTACTAAYTCTCAATTATTGAGTGTTACTAACACGCAATGAGTGCAATTATAACTCTCAATTATTGAGACTTACTAAGTCGCAATCGGAATGTCCCTTCTGGGYYACCGTAACGTCTGGCCTCCGTACTAATGGTCAATTTATGCGGTAGAACTTTTCCTCACATGCCTCACAACCATCGCAGGGCATGCAAACGTGCTCAGGACATCCTTACAACACGAATCGTATCGTGTAAATAGATCCTACTCCGCTACTACTTGTTT